AGAGAGAGAGAGAGAGAATAGGGGGTAGTTCTGCAACTATCCAAAGAGATTTGCAACCAAGCTCAAAAGTGGAAGCATGGGGAGGATGGCGGATGGGTTCACTCAGTTCCTCAATTTTGTAAGTTGAGAAATGGAGGTTGGGAGACCTCAGAAGATTTTCTCACACAGGTAAACAGCACCCCAATTCCTACGATCAGAAGAAAAGCCAGGCCCCAATCTTACCCAGGATTCCATACATTTAGTGGCATAGTTTGCTACAACAAGAAATAAAGACCCTTTAGTACACATAAACTATTGCCAAAGACATAAGGTTTCAGCCTAGGACGTGGCAGGCCCCCTTAAATAGCCAAGGGACTTTGAAAAGGACACAATCACCAGGTTCACTTATAAGACACAGTTATGGTAAGGAGCTGGATTCAACTGTCAACAGGTACCTAGTGCTCACAACACAATGGAGGCTATTGAAAACTAGGCTGAAACACCCTTGAGAAATTTCTCTTGCCTTTGCTGATCTCATGGCAGACCCCAACTGTCAAAAAGTAAATCCTTCACTGACTTGTTTATTCAGTTCTCCTGGGTTCTACAAGGGTGTTTGAGATCAGGAAACACACCAGCAGCATGGTGGTTCGTGGAGGCCTGGTTCTATGCCACTTATGCAGGACACCGCTCTGTCCTTCATGTTGTTTAAACACAGCGTTTGAGGATTAACACATGAGACGATTCTACAGGGCTGTTGTGTATCTATAAATGAACAAACCCCTTTTGGGTTCCCTAAGACTCCTTATTTTTTCCACCATAGCTTCAGCAGTTAATTATGTCATCAAGATAAGAGAAATCAAATGAAGCCAGAAGGAAGGCAAAGGACAACAAGAATAAGAAAGATGGAATCTGTCACAAGCTTGAATTATGAATATAATTATGCGTGATTATTTTATACTGCAAAGATGTTCCCTTTTTCTGCACATTTATAACTAATCTAAATAAGTAGCTTGCCGGCAGACAACGTATTTCATGATTTATATAAAATGGTCGAGATAAGGTTCACGACTGAAGGAAATGTGATTGGAGGATTTTTATCAGCCTCTGCATGAATTACTGTTTGAAAATGCTTATGCAGGGGCATTTCATTAATCATTTAATCATAATCCTAGCAGGATGTTTGAACTGATTTCACAAATACCCTTTCATTTCACTACTTCATTATGCTCGCTAATGGATCCAATATATTATATATATCATAAATTATATCACATCTTCAGTGACCATGTAGGTCACTGTCACTAAGCAAGCTTTCGTGCTCAACTTGGGAGTTCAGCAAATGTTGCCCAAGCCGACTTTAGGAATCTTACTCTTTTTTTTTTTTTTTTTTTTGGTCATTTATGATCATTTAAAGTTTCCTTTATCTAGCCAATATAAAGAAAGCAAAGCTCTGTCCATCTGAAACAGAATCCCGTAAACTCCCACTCCCTGTGAAAGTTCAGACAGTAAAAGCAAAAACATTTGTAGGGGATCGTTTTGGGTTTGTGTTGCTGCTGTTTTACTCCCTCCCCAGGAGAAGAGCACTCAAATTTTGGGCAAACACTTGCTTTTGCAAGATGGCCAATGTCTTGTTTTGTTTTGTTTTGTTTGAAATGATCCAGGGCTATCATGCATTGAATAGTTTGGCCACAAGAAATATCTATGGAAAAACATGTTGCCATGCTATACTGGAGAGGCTAGGGGGGATTTTAAAAAAACACTTCCCTTTATTTAATCAAGACGATCATCTTTCTAAGAGCTAGAAATGTGAAATTCTGAGAATCCTGTTCCTTTTGATAAATTAACACCTACACTGTATTTTCTTCTACAGCACCAATAAAATGAAAAGAGTTGTAGTGATTAATAGTTAAGAATTATTAGCCGAATAGTTAATGGCTATTAACCTATTAACTGAAGAGCACAGTTCTCATTAATGGCTACGTCTTTAACCAGGGTTTAAAGGTGAAATGCAAAAATTACAGATATAAGTAAATACTTAATGTTGTGCATATTTTGATGACTTAAAAAAGGAAAGACTGTCTACCTTCAGATCCATTAATATTTTAACTAAAAATTCAGTCACCTAAAACATGCAGCAAAAGCCACAAGGTAAAGGTAGAATCCGTAAGCTTTAATTTAAGATGAATGCAATGGGTTTCAAATTAGAGATGTTAAGCCGGTCATACGTGACAAGCTTTGGAATATTTTCTTTTGGTCACACTGCTTGATGGTTCTTTTCATCCTTTGTTACATTAGGGCTCTTTTTTATAATGACACTGAGAGCCACAGTGCATAATTAATAGGAAATGAAATATTCAAATGGCCTCTAATGCAGCCCACTGAAATGCTGTTGGAATGAAAAAAAAAAAAAGGCTATGGAAAATGTGGAGACCTCAGGAACGGTTATGAACGTTGGCATGTGTCAGTTTTCCAGATCCAAATGGATGCAAATATAAAATCCTTCTAAAATTTTAGCTACAGAAACAACAGACTGATGTAAATATAGGTTGTTTGGAAGGATTGGGGTTTTATTCTTTCTATTTTCTTTCTTTCTTTTTTGGTAGACTGCCCCAGTTTCCATTATTCTAAACCATCATAAGTTGAGACATCAAAAACAGCAGCATCCCTTAGCCAGAGTTGACTGAGAACAACAGTGGTTCTTTGACTAAAAAGAGAATCAGGAGGAGAGAAACAAACACCTAACTTTACTTAAAAAAGAAAAAAGCCCACCCTTTCTTGAGGGTGAATAGAAGAAACAAATGTGAACCTTGGTTGATTTTTATTCTTCTCAAGACTATAATATAATTTTCTTATCTGTAATTGGCAGAATTCTATCTAAATACATATGAAATCTGAGGATTAATATATTATTTGGAGGAAATGTATGTCCCCATTAAAATGAGAAAGAATTACATAGTGAAGACACATTATGGATCAAAAGCACATTTGGAAAGAATGTGACCCTGTTCACACATCTCCAAAGACCCGCCCTGGATGCGTTCAGTTTAAGTCTCTCTGGCACAATGTACCTCTTGTTTATCACCATATGGAAGAAGCGTGGAAAGAACAGACACCAAGAGATTTAAAAAAGAAAAAAAAAGAAAGAAAAAAAAATCCTTCCAAAAATAAAGCCAGCAAATGCAAAGCAAAGAAGGGAAAGTAGAACGCGTCCTCTCCCAGTGAGCATGCGAGATGCAGTCTACTTCAACAGCTGATCCCACCCTCAAAGTATACAGCACACATAAAATAAATACAGGTCACAAAAATTAACAAATCATCATAACTGTCTCATACATCCTGGGCTGGCTGCGGAAAAACAAGATCATTCTGGATTTATATCTGTAAGTATGGGATTTCCTGGACAGCTAATATCCACAAACAATCAAACACAGGAGGAACACGGGGAAAAAGGCAGCATTATTTCAAATTTGAGTTGAGAGTCGTGATTT